CCCGAGTAGCTGGGACTACAGGCTCACAACAGCAAGTCTGGCTGATTTTTTGTGTTTTATTTAGAGATGGGGTCTTGCTATGCTGTCCAGGCTGGTCTCGAACTCCTGGGCTCAGGCGATCCTCCTGCCTCAGCCTTCCAAGTAGCTGGGACTACAGGCACGCGCCACCATGCCCGGCCAATTTTTTCTATATATTTTTAAGTGTCCAGCTTATTTCTTTCTATTTTTTAGTAGAGAACGGGGTCTCGCTCTTGCTCAGGCTGGTCTGGAACTCCTGAGGTCCAGCAATCCTCCCGCCTCGGCCTCCCGGAGTGCTGGGATCACAGGCGTGCGCCACCGCGCCCGGCCTCTCTCTTCGTTCTTGTTGGGAGGGAAGACTTTCCAATCCCAGATAAATCTCTGCTGCCGATTAGGAAAATACTGTGTTCGTGGTTAACGATTTACCGTTTACGTAGTCAAAGATGTTTCTAGATAGAAAACTCATCGTCTTAAACTGCTCTGTTTGGAAGGAATAATATTTGTTTATAAATAATCCTGAGAACTATAAGGCTGCCATACCCAAATTATAGAGAACTTTTTTCTTAGACGGAAACTGCTTTTCTTTCCCTCAGGAGTGTTTCCTGACGTCTCCGCTGCCTTGCGAGTAATCGGACGTGCAAACAGCCCCTCGGGAATCCCGCTGAATTTGAAGAAGGCTCACTTGGAAACTTTGGAGCACGTACCATGGAGTCCGAGACTGAGGCAAAAGGGAAATCCCAGCACAGCTTGAATTTCCTGAATAAAATTAAGAACATGCAAGAACTAGCGGAAATGATTGACGTGGTACTCATAGCACAAGAGGAGCGATTCCCTTGTCACCGGCTGGTCCTGGGCGCGTTTAGTCCTTACTTCAAAGCCATGTTCACCTGCGGGCTCCTGGAATGTACCCAGAGGGAAGTCGTGCTCCATGAGATCACAGCAGAGAGCGTGTCCGTCATACTGAAGTACATGTACGATGCAGCCTTGGAGATCAGTGACGCCAACGTCCAGACCGTAGCCACCGCTGCCTACTTCATGCAGATGGACGACGTCTTCGCCGCGTGTCAGAAATACATGATGGACCACATAGACGCCTCCAACTGTGTAGGCGTCTATTACTTCGCCGAGCAGATGGCAGCTGAAGAGTTATCCGATCAATCGAAAAAGTACGTATATCAGCACTTCGCCGAGGTGTGCTTGCACGATGAAATCCTGGAGGTCGGAGCGCACGAGCTCCTCAAGCTCATTGAATCAGACGATCTCAACGTTTCCCGAGAGGACAGCGTTCTGGACGTAGTCCTGAGATGGGTCAATCATAACCGGGTGTCGCGCATGGAGCACCTCGGGGAGCTCCTGAAGCAAGTCAGACTGGAGCTCGTAAACCCTTCTTTTTTAAGACGAGCCGTCAAAGGCAATATGATGCTTCTGTGTGATGCCGATTGCATCCATATAATGCAGGATGCATTCAGAGCCATCAAGTCTCCTCAACGGAACCTTCCACACCTTCGCTACGGCATGGAGACCACCAGCCTTCTGTTGTGCATCGGCAGCCGTTCCTCGGGAATCCAATCAAGACAGGGGAAGTACGGAGATGCGAGCTTTTGTTACGATCCGGTATCTCAGAAGACCTACTACATCTCATCTCCCAAGTGTGGCGAGGGGTTAGGAACCGTGCAGACCGGTGTCGTCATGGAAAACAACACTATCATCGTGGCGGGAGAAGCCAGCGCCTCTAAGCTCGCCAG